CTATTATAGACAGGAAAGTTTTTGATTTTTTGCTTTTGGCTGCTGGCTGGTATGGAGATCGAAACTCCTGATGTTGGTCTTATAGACAGGCAAGTTTTAATTTCTTACTTTACTTTTCTAATTCTCAAACTTAAAAAAATGTAACGAACGCTGAGTGAGAAGAGTTTCCTATATCCCCTGAAGTAGGAAAACCTGAAGTCTGAGTGGAGTGAGAAGACTAGTGTTATAAGTTATTTGTTAAGGGATTATGAATATATGAGGTCTTTCAAAAAGTCTGTGGAAAAACAGAATGAAAAGATAATATGAATCTTTCCATGAACTTACTGAAGTACCCTCGTACAGGCATACTTCAGAGATATTGCAGGTTCTGTTCCAGACCACCGCAATAAAGCAAATATTGCAATAAAGTGAGTAACACAAATTTCCTGGTTTCCCAGTGCATATAAAAGTTATGCTTACTGTAGCCTAAGTGTTCAGTAGCATTATGTCTAAAAAAATGTGCTACCTTAATTAAAAAATACTCTTGATAAAATATGCTAATGATCTTCTGAGTCTTCCACGAATCATAATCTTTTTGCTCATGGAGGGTCTTGCCTTGATGTTGATGGCTGCTGACTGATCAGGGTGGTGGTTCCCGAAGGTTGGGGTAGATGAGGCACTCCCATAATAAGACAACAATGAAGTTTGCCACATGAATTTACTCTTCCTTTCATAAAAGATTTCTCTGTATCATGCAATGTTGTTTGATAGCATTTTACCCACAGGAGAACTTATTCAAAATTGGAGTCAATCCTTTCAAACCCTGCTGCTGATTTATCAATTCAGTTTATGTAGTATTCTAAATCCTTTGTTGTCATTTCAACAATGTTCATAGCATCCTTACCAGTAGATTTCTTTTCAAGAAACCACTTCCTTTGCTCATCCTTAAGAAGCCACTCCTCCTTCATTAAAGTTTTATCATGAGATTGCAGCAATTTAATCACATCTTCAGGCTCCACTTCTAATTCTAGTTCTCTTGCTATTTCTATCACATCTGCAGTCACTTCCTCCACTGAGTTTTGAACCCCTCAGGGTCATCCATGAGGGTTGGAATCACCTTCTTCCAAACTCCTGTTAATGTTGCTATTTTGACCTCCTCCTGTGAATCATGAATGTTCTTAATGGCATTTACCATAGTGATTCCTTCCCAGAGGTTTTCAATTTACTTTGTCAGATCCATCAGAGGAATCACTATCTTTGGCAGCTATAGCCTTACAAAATGTATTTCTTAAATAATGACGCTCAAAGTCAAAATTACTCAGGGCCAGCACGTGGCTCACTCGGGAGAGTGTGGTGCTTGTAACACCAGGACCACGGGTTCGGATCCCTATATATGGATGGCCGGTTGGCTCACTGGCTGAGCATGGTGCTGACAACACCAAGTCAGGGGTTAAGATCCCCTTACCGGTCATCTTTTTAAAAAAAAAAATTACTCATTGATCCATGGGCTACAGAATGGATGTTGTGTTAGCAGGTGTGAAAACAATGTTAATCTCCTTGTACATCTCCATCAGAGCTCTTGAGTGATGAAGTGCATTGTCAATAAGCAATAACATTTTGAAAGGAAATTTTTTAATTTATTTTTTTCTGAGTAGTGGGTTTAAAAGATTCAGCAAACCATGCTGTAAACAGATGTGCTGTCATCCAGGCTTTTTTGTTCCATTTCTAGAGCACAGGCACAGCAGATTTAGTATCAGTCTTAAGTGCTCTAGGATTTTTGAATGGTAAATGAGCATTGGCTTCAACCTAATGTCACCAGCTGCATTTACCCCTAAAAAGAATCATCCTGTCCTTTGAATTTTTGAAGACAGGCATTGATTTCTCCTCTGTAGCTATGAAAGTCCAAGATGGCATTTTCTTTCAATATAAGGCTGTTTTGTCTCCATTGAAAAATCTGTTAAGTGTAGCCATCTTCATCAATGATTTTAGCTGGATCTTCTGGATAACTCGCTGCAGCTTCTACATTCAGCACTTGCTGCTTCACCTTGCACTTTTATGATATGGAGATGGCTTCTTTCCTTAAACCTCATGAACCAACCTCGGTAGCCTCAAACTTTTCTTCTCCAGCCTCCTCACCTCTCTCAGCCTTCATAGAATTGAAGAAGGTCAGGGCCTTGCTCTGGATTAGGTTTTGGCCAAAGGGTATGTTGTGGCTGGTTTGATCTATCTAGATCACTAAAACTTTCTTCATACTGGCAATAAGTCTCTTTTGCTTTTTCATCATTCATGTCTTCACTGGAGTAGCACTTTTAATTTCCTTCAAAAACTTTTCCTTTGCATTAACATCTTAGCTGTTTGGTGCAAGAGGCCTAGCTTTTGGCCTGTCTCAACTTTTTATATTCCTTCTTCATTAAGCTTAATCATTCTTAGCTTTTGATTTTAAGTGGGAGACATGCGACTCTTACTTGAACACTTAGAGGCCATTGGGGTTTATTAATTGGCCTAATTTCAATATTGTCATCTCAGGGGATAGGGAGGCCCAAGGAAAGGGAGAGATATGGGGGAACAGCTGGTTGGTGGAGCAGTCAGAACACACACAACATTTGTGGATTAAGTTCGCCGTCTTATATGGGAACAGTTTGTGGTGCCTCAAAACAATTACAACAGTAACATCAAGATCACTGATCACAGATCACTATAACATGTATAATAATAATGAAAAAGTTTGAAATATTGCAAGAATTGCCAAAACGTGACAAGAGACATGAAACAAGCACATGCTGTTGGGAAAATGGCGCCAATAGACTTGCTCAACACAGGGTTGCCACAAACCTTCAATTTGTAAAAATGCAATATTTGTGAAACTCAATAAAGTGAAGTATGATAAAATGAGGAGTGCCTGTATTCATTTCTGGTAAGGATTCTTTTCAGGGTTCCCTTATTTACTTTATATCAATCTAGTTACATCTAAAAAAACCAAAAACGTAAGATTCCTATTCCTCAGGAGGTCAGTAGGACTTACTTCCTGAGATCAAGTGCAAGATGGTTTAGATGGATAACAGTCATAAGTTACATAAACTGCTTTTATGAACTGCTTTTATTTTTAAGCCACTTAACACCAATAAAAATTTTTATTTTGCCTTTTTAAATTTCTGAGTAATTTTTATGATATAAAATTCTTCTAAGACAATCATAATAAAAATAATTCACATGTAACTTTGCTGTATGTGAAACCATGTACAGTAATTTCATAGATGACTTAGAAGATGTGGGCTGATTAAAATCTAGTGAGCCACATTTTAATAATATAGTATACCAGAGCACACAGTAAAAAAGAAATCACCACCGAGGAAATTTATAAGCAATTATTTATTCACCAAATATACTTTTGGAGACCTGTCTTTCATCTTGATTATTTTTCAGAATTTAGTTCTCCCCCTATATTGAGGAATGTGCCTATCCTAAGGAGAGGTTAACTTCCTAAAAGCCAAGCAGACATCCTGGGTGGCTAGCATTGATCTCTCCTTTTTGTGTCCCTTAAAAAGTAGCTCGCTTCTCTGACGGTTGTGCCTGTGTGCACCACCATTGCAAGGTGGAGTTGGTTCCAAATGCATTCTTAAGAATGATATCTAAACATACATGTGCTTGGTGTGGTCACACATTTACATTGGCTTATGTCATTTCTTTATGGCTTTACAGTTGTTTTTTGTCTTTATAATCACTCTTTCTATAGTGTCATTTTTTTATTTTAATATAGCTCTACTCAAATGTCCTACAAGGCTTTATGAAAGTCAAATAGCATTCCCCCCCAAAAGTTAACCATCACAAATGATGTTGTAAAGATCCTTGGAGGTGAAGTGTCTATTACTTGGAATGCGACAATTCTAAACCCTTCATAATGACTATATGCTTTGTTGCTTTTTAAAGGCATTTGCTCTAGAACAGTTGAAGAATTAGGTGCTCATGTGTTAAATGCCTGCCACCTGATAATTATCTCAAGGGAGAAATTGGTTTTGTTTAGTTTAAGCTTAATGTAAAAAAAAGATAATCTGTCATATTTAATTTATAATAAGACTTTATTAAGGTGGATGTCCAGAATTTAGTTTAATTGCTTCCACAACTAGATAAGAGTGATTTATGTGTCAAAATTAAGCATATTGGCAGGTCATCCTGTATAAGTTTGTATGTAGAGTTGAAGTAAGCTTACATTTTCACTTGAAGGTTTTTTTAACATCATTTATTTCTTCTTCCTGTTTATTTTATTGACTTAATTTATCAACCCCTCTTTTTGAAAAAAAAGTGAGAGGAAAAAGGCCATAGCATTATCACATTTGTATATGTGGGTTCCCTAAACCATATGGTGATTTCTAATTAGAATACAAAAGATTCTGTGATGAGACTAACTTCATAGTAGCTGTGATGGTGGGTATGACAGAAGGAGAGAGTTTTCTTGAATTTCCAACAAGGACACTTTAAAATTGTGTGGTCCTTATACTAGAAGTCTGATAAAGTTATTGATGTGTAGATCAACTTGGTATTTCAAAAGTCGTCATTTAATTCTGGATATTTGATCCTCTCTGTCAGTGGCTTGACTTTATTTTTTTAAAAAGCAGCTTCAATATTTAATTTCACATGTACTCTCTCAATAGAGATTTCAAAGGATACTTTGCTGGATGCTTGACTGCCTTGTTTATTTGCTCTTGTTTTGCATGCAAGAGAGAGCCAGCTTTCTTCTCATTGTGTACACATAGTATTAATGGATTTACTCTGCCTGTATTGTCTCATTACTGGAAACAGCTAGAAGCACAGAAGTCTTTCAGTGTATGCAAATAAGGCAGAATCATCTACCTGAGAGTTAATATTCGCTGCTTTTAAGTGTATTCTAAATCTAATGTTTGTATTTAGAGCATAACATCCTGTTCTCTTTTTTTATGGGCAAAAAGCTAAGCAGGCTCAGGCAGCTGTTTGATGTTGGCTTCAAGTGTTATTAATTTCATATTCTATTATTCTTTTCACTGTAGCACAAGTGAAGCTGATGTGGAGGCTGTCATGGATAAGTTGTTTGATGAGCTGGCTCAGAAACAAAATGATTGTACGTAAGTTAATTTCTCTTGAAAGAGAATACATTTAGAACACAATGCCCAATCTCCACTGACCAATTAATAAGTTCCATTGCTGTATATGGGTTGATGCCATGCTCAAGTGGCAGTCATTGTATCAGCATTTTGTCTAATTTATGTGTTGAATCATGTGCTATTATTCATCAAGCTATGCATTTCCTATCTGTAAGAGATGAATTTTATAGTAATTATCCAGACAAGATTGAGTCTTTGTTCATGTTCCCATAGTAACTAGACCAAGGATTCTAAAAGTGCAAGGCAGAGAGCTGCGCCTGAATAAAGCCTGTGGAACCATTGCCGACTGCACATTTGAAGAGCTGTGTGAGAGAGTAAGTATCCAAGCACGTCCAGACTCATTGGCCTTTTCACATGTTAAAATACTCCATGTTTTCCTCTCTGTCTGTTTCAGATTTTAAAATACTAATCACAGAGTCAGAACTGACTTAAAAGTCTCATTAAGGGAAATACTCATCTATATTTGTCATGTGCTTTTTATAGATATTGGCACAAAATTTGCACTTAGAGGGGCTCTAAAGCAAAATTAGGAACTCAGAGAGAATTGTCAACTGTTGCTGGAAGCAAAAATAAAACTGGTTTTAGGGCCATTTTATAAAAGTCAAACATAAGGGATTTGAAAAAGTATTTCTGAGGTGAGGTTACTACGTTGGAGAAAGGAAGATGAAGTAATACTACCATGATTCAAGGAAGTGTGCCATGAAAGAATTTCCATTCCTCATACTCATTGCCCATCTGTTATTGCCTTATTATCTGACCTGTTTGGGCCAGGGTCAAAAAAAGTGAATTTCTATAACGTCTATGTTACATAATAAATAATATATTCAGCAGAAAAAAAAATGCTTGTTCACACATTTATTTAAGTCCTTTTATTAAGAAAGACCTTGACTGCATAATCATTACAGACATGAATTGTGTCTTTTAAAAACTCTGGAATTCTCAGTACTCAGTAGATAGATTTTTAATATTTTTACTGATTGTAAATCTTGAGAAAAACAAATCCAAATTAGATATAACTTTAAGCATAATTCTTCGATTGACATGTACAAATTGTCATTCCAGCTGGTCTCTGATTTATTTTGACTTTTAGGTAAGAAAAGTTGTTTTTCAGTAAGGGGAAAGAGGATGTCTGTCTTTATATCTGCCAGCCATTTTATGAGTACTTTTCTTAAAAGCTAGTGGCTTAATTACTTCTAACCAGCATAAATTTGTAATTTTTAAACCAGAGAGATGAATCCAATCTGCAGTTATTTAGTGCTTCAGAACCAATGAAATTTAAGATCAATTGGGGTCCTCTGACAGGGTGGTAATGTTGACCTCTGTCAGTGAAAGTCACTCTGGGTGATATGGACGTTCAGACTCCTGCTGGATCAGTCTCATTAAGGTACTAACCTAATGTCTCCAGAAAAAAATTCTATTAAGGCTTCCATTTAGGTTTTACTTATTTTGCCAGAGGAATAAACTTGAGAAGAATCTTCTATATCCAAGTGATGAAGCTTCTCCTCTTTCTGCACAAGAGGACCCCGTGGGGAAAGGGAAAAGACAGGCCTGTCGAATGTTGGGAGAAGGCAAAGAGGGTCTCTCAGCAGATAGAGTATTTATCTATATTTTTTTATTTGCTTATTATTACAGGAGACTTAGTACTAGGAAAAGGCCACTTATCAGGGACCATAATCTTCATAGTCTGTTTACTTTATGCCTCCATAGAGGTGACTGGGAAGAAGATTGATTGGGACTTTATTGTGAAAAGTGAAAATAACACATAAAAATAAGTCATTTTTATCTTATTTGACAAAAATATGGATGATAATAACAACTATGAATTAAACTCTTCGAATAAACAATGAATAAATTTCTATTTATTTTTGTCATAACTTTCTTTCTTTTTTTTTTTTCTTTTTTTCTTTATTAAACTCTTCGAATAAACAATGAATAAATTTCTATTTATTTTTGTCATAACTTTCTTTCTCTTTTTTTTTTTTCTTTTTTTCTTTTTTTTTCATGTCCGGCAATGGATCGCAACCCTCAGTGTCACGCCCGGACCGGGACCGGCAACGGGATCGCAACCCTCGGTGACGCGCCCGCACCTCGCTCCGCCAGTGAGCGGGAACCGGTCTGTTTGTGGGATCCGAACCCTCGGCGGGAGCGCTGCTGCGCTCCCAAGTGGGGCACTGTAGCAGTGCGCCACCGGGCCGGCCCTGTCATAACTTTCTTAACAAAATTCTAGGATGATAAAATATTACATCCTTCACGATTTGGTTGTTCAATCACATAGGAAATCATTTTTACAAAATATTTAAGGATTTCGTCAGTTTTCTCAAAATCCTCTTTTAATTTGTGAATATGTTAATTTTTTTTTTTTTTTAAGTTTTTGTAGTGTCATTATCTTCGTTGATTATTTTCTTCCTCAGGTAGCCAGAGCCTCATTCGTTAGTGACTCTGCATGGATAGGTTTGCCATTTATCTACATGGTAATTGTGGGATGTTTACTTACGAGCGCTGAATGACCCACAAAAGACATTGGCAGGATGGGTGGGGTTAGGATCTAGTATTAAGCTGTGAGGGATGTTTGAGGAAGGACTAAATTTTTTTTTTTTTTTTTTCAAAAGATGACCGGTAAGGGGATCTTAACCCTTGACTTGGTGTTGTCAGCACCACGCTCACCCAGTGAGCTAACCGGCCATCCCTATGTAGGATCCGAACCCGTGGCCTTGGTGTTATCAGCACCACACTCTCCCGAGTGAGCCACGGGCCGGCCCAGGAAGGACTAAATTTTTTTTTTTTTTTTTCAAAAAATGACCGGTAAGGGGATCTTAACCCTTGACTTGGTGTTGTCAGCACCACGCTCACCCAGTGAGCTAACCGGCCATCCCTATGTAGGATCCGAACCCGTGGCCTTGGTGTTATCAGCACCACACTCTCCCGAGTGAGCCACGGGCCGGCCCAGGAAGGACTAAATTTTTAAGTGGTCAGTTTATTTGTGATTATTTTCTTGTGATGATTTTGCATTTCTTTGCAACCTCGTAACTGTGTCAGTTCAGATATTGGATACATGCATGAAGGGAACCATTGAAATCATTCAACTTCAGATGTAGCCTAACACTCTTAATTAATTATAATGATCTTATGAGCCAGGCTAAATAGTTCCCAGAAACCATTCAGAAAAGAAAAACATCCAACGCAAAGTAAAGAAGCAGGCACCTGGTGTGTCTAGGACAGTCCCAACTGTGGATTGCTTATCCTAGTTTTCTAGACCCCACTGCTGACACCATCATGAAAAAAACATTTGGCAAAGCATGGATAGGTTGGCAGTATGTAATGACCATTTTTGAGCTATGGCCCCATTCCAAGGAAAAAATAATGTAGAAACTATCTATTAGTGTCTTCATAAGGTAAAGGAAGGTTTCAACTGGAAGCCCTTGACTATGCCATAAGTAAAGCGGAGAAGGCCCAGGGCATTCTGCTCTTCTCACACCTCTTCCCATCCTCTTCCCTCCCTCTTCCAAGGAATCCTGCAGGTTAATAATTAGCCTCTCAGTATCTCAGTATTTACTTTCTTTGTAAATCTATTAATCAACACTGTCCTGCTCAGAGAAGCAGTCCCAGTTAGGAGACCCTATAGCACCTGCATAATAATAATAGCTAAGGTAGCTAACTTAGCAATGCATCATTCTAAGCACTTTTTAGATATTAACCCATTTAGATCTTATAATAGGTAGGCGCTATTATTGTCCCCATTTTATAGATGGAGAAACTGAGAAACCAAGTTGTTAAGTTACTTTCCACAGGTCACACAGCTAGTAAGTGGCATATCCAGGTTTTGAACTCCTTGGTAGTTGGGAGTCGGATTCTATGCTCTTAATCACTACATTAGATCTCAAAATGTTCCGGACAAGTTCTGCCTCAAATATTTAATATAATTCAGCTTCTACCATGAAGTATAATCAGATACTTTGTAAATTTCCACATCTGAGCTAAGCTTTGAGACTTTTATGGAGCATGAAGCAGGCTGGGGAATAGATATCCTCCATCTCTGAGAGTCTCCCTCTGTGTTGAGAACCTTAGTACAGAACTGTCCAACTCATATATGCCTTGGCATAGACACTGGGAACGGGTATAGCTACTGGCCCCTCCATCCTCCTGAAGACTATATCTGGCCTTTACCTCCAGGCTAGGGGCCTCAAGCCTTAGGCAGCCTCCTCATCTCTTTATCTTTCAATAAAAATATTGTTATTTTCTCTCCTTGCCATATTATGAAAAAGGTTGGAAAATGCCTTAGAGAACTGTGGGAGGATAAAGGAGAAAATGTTTGAGTGGCCTTTGTTCCTTGCCATTCACTCCATATCAGAGCTTTGATAAAGAAAAATGGAACAGATTCATCTCTGGACATGATATGAGCTTTCAGGTTTCCTTTTCTTACTTTGACACAGTTACTTGGCTTTTAATCAGAGGATATTGGAGAAGTCAGAAATATGGCTTAAGAAATATAACTTAAGTCATTGGTTCTCAAAGTATGGTTCATAGCCCTCTCGGGGTCCCTGAGACCCTTTCACAGGTCCTGGAGGTCTAAACTCTCTATCATAATACTAGGACACTTTTTGCCTTTTTCACTGTGGTAACATTTACAGTAATGGTGCAAAAGCAATGATGTGTAAAACATTCTTAGCATGAATCAAAATATAATGGTTTTATCATTCTTTATTTTATTTTATTTTTTTATGGGGTGTTCTTTATATGTCTGTTAGGTCTAATTGGTCTATAATGTTGTTCGAGCCCTCTATTTCCTTATTGATCTTCTGTCTAGATGTTTTACTCACTATTAAAAGTAGGGTATTGAAGTCTCCAGCTTATTGTAGAACTATCTATTTCTCCCTTCAATTCTATCAGTTTGCCTCATACATTTTGGGGCTCTGTTGTTTGGTGTTATCATTCTTACTTTAAATGAATTAATAAGTATTTAACATCTTCTCAATCTTAATTTTTTTTTTAAGAAAATGTAATTTTATTATTATTTTTTACATTCTGGGATGTTGTTGTGGAGCAGTTGGAAGGGAGGGGGAGAGGGGAATGGGGAAGGAAATGGGATGGAAGAAGGAGGAAGGCGGAGGGGCGGGATTAAGGCCTGTGGCACCCCCCTCATTCCCACAGGGGATACTAGGGGGCTTCCAGTGGTGGCTTGGTTATTTCCAGGCTGGGTGCAGATGTCAGAGGGGTATGGCAAGAGCCTCTGCCCTCCACTGTCCCAGCTCGGGAACCTGGGGCCCTTCTTGCTGTGGCTTGGTGGTTGTTGCTGGGCTGGTGCACGTGTCAAGGG